ATCACTCTATCGTGAACTAATATTTATCAATAAGATTACTATAATTATGAGTCATAAAATTGATACAACTGCAAGTGAAAAATTAGTTTCTATAATACAAAGAAAGAGACGATTTGACAGCGAGTTTAAATGATAAGTAACATAGGATTATCACAAATGATAAAATGTTTTAACTCTATTCTTTATCATATGTAGTTTGTAAGATAGTTTATTCAATATTGTTACACTATGCAAAAATATAGCAAAATATACATACATACATAAATATATCACTTACAATTTAGAAACATTGACAATATATTATCCACTGACACATGTTGTTTATCTCCTCTTAGCAATAAAAATATAAATAATATCTAAAATTAATTAATATATATATAATATTAAAAAATATTATTAATTTAAATCAGTTTTAATTTTTATCTTATTTTTTAATTAAATTTTGTAATTAAATTTAAATATTAATATGTGTAGTATAAATATAATAATGTAACAAACATCTCGTTTTTGAAAAATTAGAACGCACGCAGTAAGGTAATTTTTCTCCATATCTTTCTTTCTTCCTTCCATTTTGTGGTTTCGTGATAGGAAATTCTGCTGATTATTCGAGATTAATTAAGTGAGATGCTGATAATTGTTTTAAAAAGTCTAAAAATATTGTAATAATCTCAAGAAAAATAAATTATTTCTGTTTGTGCTTTTAATTTCTTATGTATCACGTATACAATTAAACACATTTTTTGTATATTGTATAATTATACAAAGCTAAACAAAACTAAATAACAGTGAAACAATAAAAGTGCGGAAACAGTTAAGAGAAAAAAAAAAGTTCGCGATCACTCAATCAGTCCATGTTGAACCAGCTCAGGGGTAACAACTCTCCAATTTTCATTGGTGAGAAAAGTGTTCAAGCTCCGATCAGCCACCTAACGGATGACTAATTGTTTGAAATATACTGTTTGCGAATGTGAAACGTGATTATAATTTTGTTAATTAGATCTGGCATGATTCTTTTTATGTCATTTTATTAATCCATTGCTTATTCCATAATTTTCTAAGAAACATAATTCATAATTAAAACAAATTGATCTATCAGAAATGTTGAGGAACATGCCAAGCAGTGCATATGTGTGATACTCGTAGATAGAAATATTATCCAGCATCATTTGTCATCATTATTTTTTATTAAAGAATGCAATCTAAAAACGGAGCTCGAAAACATTTGCAACGTATTTAATATAATATAAGGTGAGTAAATAGTATGAATTTTATTTTTATGAATCTATTAATGCGTCACTTTCTGTTAATAATCATTCACGTATGTAGTGTAGAATTTAATTGTATATTTGCGCTGTAATTAATGCGTTTACAAAATGTGTAAGTTTTACAATCGTTAAGAAATAAATATTGCCGGGTAATATAATATTTTTTTATTTATTGATGTGATTTATTTTCAAGAATAATCGATTTCTGTTTTTCTAAACATTGCTTCCTACTTGCTATAATATTTAAAGATAATAAAGAAGAAAATTCAAATTATTATTTGCAAGTGGAACATGTATATTTATATGTCACTTATGTAAAGGATAAACAGCGTTTAATAATTTTACTGTCGTGTTCCTAACACGATTTACATGCACAGCTAAATTAAACCTAACTAATTCGTAAACAAATAACTGCACTTATCTGTGCAAAAATTGTCAATAACGATCCATGTATTATAATTTTTATATACAATTTTTATACATATTATACACATTATAAAACAAAATGCTAGCAAAACAAAATGTGTCTTTAAGACAGGTCTTACGATTTTTTAATTAATTGAGACTTATTTGAAACTTTAAGAAATAAATCTATCCAATATCAGAGAGTATCTCAAAGTTTAAAAAAATTCTTTTTCTATGTAATTATTAAATTAATCTTCATTTAATAATGCATTTACTCAATAGTTTTCATAGGTTAATCAGACAAAAATGAATACCCGTCATAAGACATGCATCGTAATTTTGTTCATCGCAATAACAAGCATTTTTGCTTTCCAATGTCCAAAGAACGCAGAGTGTCAATGTACATTACCGAACTTGTTACCAACTTATATCAATTATACAATAGATAATAACAATTCTACTTTCGAAATATCTATTGAAAACGGCACTGCTTCAATAAGTGTACGTATTCATTAAATCATGAACGTTTCATATTGACGTATGCATATATCGGACACCCGCACAAAAAGTGATACAAATAAAAAATATCAAATTATTCAGAAAAGAGAAAAAAAGAAATTGCGTTAAAAATAACGTTTCCTCTTAATAATATTATAAATTAGTATTTATCACAAATTCTGTCCCAAATTATAAATCGTCTGAAGCAAGGTTGATTTAATGAAAAATTAATTCACATCTCCATAGTTGGTTAAACAATAATTTTAAAAGTATTTTTTTACGACAGTATTAAACGTATCGGACTGACGCGGAAAGTATTTAATTTCAACTTCTATCACTTTCCTTGATCGAAGACCGATATATTTAGAACACTATCCGCACATAAAACAAAATTCGAAAAATTTTCTCGTGTCACTTTTTCTTGCGGATGTACAATATATAATTTTCAAACTTTGTGTATTCACAGTCAATATTACTATAAAAATCTAAATCAAAAGCTATAAAATTAAAAAACTAATATAGATACGACTAATATAGATACAAAGAGATTTTTTGCTACATTATACAATTCAAAAATATTATAAGACATTGAATATTAAGAAATGTTAAGCTTTTCATGATGACGATATTCATGTTTTTTATATTTAATAATATTTTTCGTAGAACAAAATATTTTTTAAGAAAACTTTCTTTTCCATCTTTTTAAAGAAAGATTTTCAATGTCTTACCTACAACTATTTATTTAAAATTTTACTTAAAAAAAAATTTTGTATGAAATTTATGGAAAATTTCAGAAACAAACGTTTTTTTCTTTTTTTTTAACTTTTAGGTAATTAAATCAAATTTATATCAGAAATGTTTTTTTCATATAGATCACCTGTATCAACTCAGCGGACTTATCAAATTTTAATCTCGACGTATGGAATATCACGTTGCAAAATACTTCTTCGACTTATGATTACGAAATATTGTTCGAGGAGTGCAATTTACCTAAGAACATCAAATTGATTGACATTGCGCGAATGCTAAAAGCTACAGACATTGAGGAATTAACTTTTAATTAAAAAAAAAACTTGAACTTGACCTTGAAAAAGTATCATCTAAACGGTTTCGAAAATTTAAAAAATCTGTGCATACTAAACCACAACATACACTATGTGGACAAAGATCTATTAACCGATTTGAAAGAATTAAGGACGCTTTCCATGATCAACAATTGCTTAGAAGATTTGGCCGCTAAATTTTTTGATTTTACCCCCAAATTATATATACTGAATTTGCAGAATAACTGTTTGAGACGGATAGAACCAACCACATTTGATAAGCTGATAAATTTAGGATATCTGGGTCTAAATAAAAATTATTTAACCGAGCTTCCATCGGGTATTTTCGACAAACTTGTCGCTCTGAGAATCCTTAATGTTGCAATGAATAACTTATCCAGTTTACCAGAAAATATATTCGCAAAGCTGGAAAACCTTGAGAAGCTTTATCTACAAGGGAACAATTTTACAAATCTGCCAAAAGATCTTCTACGAAACAATACAAAATTGGAAAAAGTTTACTTAAACGACAACCAGAGAAATTTCACTTTATTGGATGGATTTTTTAGCAATTTAACAAAATTGAAATATTTGTCACTGAAGAATAATGGACTAATCACTTTACCGAAAGATCTCTTTTGGGGATCATCGTCGCTGGAAGAGATTGTATTGAGTAACAATTACCTCCAATCTTTGCCCGTAGAAATATTTCAAGATTTGTTCTACTTAGAAATATTGGAATTGGACTCCAATAATCTAAAAGCTTTACCGGATAATATTTTTGGACGAACCGTTGGATTAAAAATATTGAATTTATCAAATAATTGCATTACTACCATTTCCAAGTATGTTTAAATCGCTTTTATTATATGAATTATAATAATTGCTTACGTTTTATAATTTTACTGATACAGAAATCTTTTTTATATTTCAGATATTTATTTAATATATTATTCCGATTGGAACAACTAAATATGGAACGAAATCATCTAAAAACTATTCCCGATTATAGTTTTTATGACTTAAGAAATTTAAAGATTATTAACTTGTCTCACAATTATCTTACATTATCTAAACGGTCCCATGCATTCAACGGTCTAAACGGTCTCATGCATTCATTGTTTGGGAATGGCTTAGAAAAATTATATTTATTTAACAATAGCATTTCCGAAATATTGGATGATTAGATAACTAATCACGATAAACTTCAGACATTGGATCTCAGCTATAACAACATATCTACTATAAAAGTAAGTATTTAAAACAGCACCTTGAAAAGTGATATATACAGGGTGTTCTAAAGTTAAACAATTAAACATCACCAGTTTGATCAATAAAT